GTCAATTAATTTCTTTATCGAGAAGGCGTTTAACATTTATAGTTACTCGAGCAAGCTCTTGGTCTAAAAGAGTATTTGATAAAACCCAACGGCTTGGAATAGAATAGGTAGCACGTAGAGCTTTTGTATATTCTTGAAAAAATGGATGCTCAATGAGAGCAAAAGGTAAATTACAACAAACGACCATTTTTAGTAATATTTTGTTAATTTGGTCTTCCTTATTTAATGAAGTAGGAACGTTTTCATATTCGTTATCAAGATTAATACTATTTTTTTCCAATTTTCGTTTTTTACTTGCCGTAGTTGATGTTGAGGCCATATCATTATCTGAATCAACACAATCGTTTGTTAATGATACTAAAACTTTAATTCTAGTATCTGAATCGACTTTTTGACATTCATACGCAAGATGCATTTTGAGTTTACTTGGCTTAGCAAAATCCCAGTGTTCATCACAAAAAGAGCAAGTTGCGGAATAATATCCTTTTTTAGGTGTTTCATCTCCTCTTAAAAACCATTTCCATACCTCACTGGGAGGACGTCCGCATTTATTTTTCTTAACTGAAGATTTTTTGTTCAATGCCATTTTTTATTCACAAGAAAAAATTTTGAACACAGCTTTTCTTTTAAAACATTTAATTTTATTTATTAATATCTTTTTTAAGAATTTTGACTATTATACAATGCTTCGTTTAGATTTCAATCTTCATATAAAGGCTTCATTTAGATTCGACTTTAGTTAGCCTTTCGACCAAAGATTTAATTTCGGAAATGATCGACCTGGATCGAAACTTGATAAAATCTGAAACCGAAACTAGGTTCGAAAATCCAGGAGTTTCGGTCACATGTATAATGTAGCCCAAACAATTTAACAATTTCCATAGTTTCATGTACTTATGTACGTACGTACAAAGATATAGGTGTTTAATGAAATTCTAATTGTCGCTTGGTTCGGGTCCCATATAATTTGTACATGACTATCACAATGATTTTTATCACGCTCGATGTCGCCGACTTAGTATATTATTTTAACATACTCGCAACAATTGTATTTCCTATATTTTAATCAATTAACTTTATAACCAGGTCAAATTTTAATTAGGATATGGATTAGATATATATACGTATGAGGGCCGATAACAAAAGAATAATAGTTTATTCAAAGCGAACTCAATTTTTTACTAAGTAAACTGTATTTTAGCTTCTAAGTAATTAATGTTGTAGCAGGTAGAGGCTGTTCTTATAATTCTAACGTTGGTGGGCAGAGATTTTATAATCGTAAAACGTGCATATCTCGTGACCTACTGGGTCAAGTCATATATGAGTGTCGCTAAAAGAAAACCCGACAATTTAAATATAAATCATATTTAAACTTTCGGGTTTTCTTTTAGCGACACTCATATGTAAGGTTCGGTTCTCAAAGAGTTACTATTAGCTAATCCGAACTCTATAATAAATTTACAAATGTTCTAGAGTTTTTTGTTCAGATTAAAGAGAATTTAATAGTGTTCGGATTAGAGAGAGTTAACTGTATGTCTTCGAAGAATTGATTTTTCAAGTATAAAAACTCAATATTTTATTAAGTTAATATAAAATAAAAAAAAGTGTACTTTATGTGGTGCAAGAAGTCTAGAACCAACATCACGTGACTTCAAAAGATTATAAAAAATAAAATTGTAATAACTAATTATATTAATATTATACAGAAAAATTTCTTCTATCAATTAATTATTTGAAGCTAATATTATATTATTATAGAAAGATTTTTTTCTTAAGTTTACTAAACCTAAATTGATAGCTAAAATATTTATTATATTTTGAAAATTTTGGCCACTAATATAAAATTTTTGAAAATTTTGGCCACTCTGGTCACGTGATGTTGGTTCTAGACTTCTTGCACCATATGAATAACCAATATTTAATTTGAATTGAAATCCTAGAATCGACAAACGTGTCCCATACAACGCACATGGTCGTTACTTAAAAAAGCAAGTTTATACCTTTGTCTCGAATTAACGCGTATATACTCAAATCAACGTGCAGATGGGCATTATTTCGCGAAAATACGGTACGTATCTACAAGATTCTAACATTCTCTATCCAGAACTTAATCTCTCAACTATTATTATACCATTTGCAGTGTTAATTTTTGGTTAAATTTATGTACCAATTTTGTTCTGTGTGCTGCGTACAATCCGCACTGAGAAAAATAATCACTAACCACGTGTATCATTATATGAAGAGAAAAATTATGTTATGTTAATACGTATATCGATATTGTATAAACTTTCATTATAAATTAAACAATTACATAACAGAAAAAATTTATTTAAAGTTAGTTGGTCGTATGTAGTGATGCTAAACGGCTCAATCGGCTTGTATATTCAGTATAATAAAAACCGATTAATCAATAGAGCCGATGAGCCGATACGCATCTCTAGTCGTATGCCGGGCATATGGGCATTATGCCAGGCACTAGGTGCCTCATGCCATGCCTATGCCTATAGGCATAAAATGCCAGGCACTATTGTAGGCATGGGCACAAAGTGCCGGGCATCATTAAAGGCATGGGCACAAAGTGCCGGGCACTAGCAAAGGCATGGGCACAAAGTACTAGGCACAAGGTGCCGGGCACAGGTGCCGGGCAAAGTGCCAGGCATAATTAAATAATAAATACTAAATTTCTGTGCCTGTGCCCATGCCCATGCCAAGTTTTTTGTGCCGTGCCTATGCCTATGCCAATTTTTTATGCCCATGTTCATGCCCATGCCCATGCCTGAGGTTTCGTGCCTATGCCCATGCCCATGCCCAGACCTTTTGTTGGGCACAGGCACGTGCCTGGGTTGCAGACCCTAGTCGTAACTATAGATTTATTAAGTTTGAAAGGATCTATGTATATAGTCAGTGCTTTATACTCATATTGCCCTTGCTAAATTGTTTACCTTTTTTTGGCTCAAAAAACATTTTACAATTTTTAAGCATAACTTTGCCGATTTACTTAATACGTATACGAGAAATAAAGTACTCGAGCTTCCGGGTGCAGTATTGCAAACGTATAAAAATTCTTCTTTACAATTGCGTAATATATCAGTCTATTTCTAGGATGGCTCTCTTGCTCCCCGATCCACCCCTAATCACTGTTTGCAACTTTATGCGCCACTATGTGTTACGATTTGATTGGACTAGCGATACCGAACAAATATTTGGGGTTTCCGAGGCTATGCTGATTTTGTGAATAAAAATTAAATTTGCCAGCCATCTAGTTATCCAATTTCGAATAAACCTTTTTTTTCATTTTGCTGATTTAGTTTACAAAATAAAAAAAAGTTCATTCAAATTGAATAACGTGGTGGTTAGAATTTGTTGATTTTGTGAATAAAATTAAATTTGTCGACATAGCAAAAATTTCATTTTATCAATTAGCTAAGCTTCAATTTTAGTATACAAGCCACAGTAAACTATCAACAAGGCTAAAATCAACTCTTAGATATGTTAGCTATCAATATGTTTGATAAACATTAAATCCATTAACTTTTACAAGGCAAAAATATTGTTACTTCGATATAATACTGAACAAAAATATTACAGTATTAATGTTTGTAGTCGGCCTAAAATTGTTAAATCGACTAAGCCGAGCTAGTGATGGTAAATAAACATTTTAAACAGTTTATTTTTTTTACATGCTGATAATACCGCTTGTGTAAAAACAATTGTGAAAGAATTCTACGTAAGAAATTTTTTTTTTTTTTTTTTTTGTATTGATACTAAATTACGTTAAAATGCGTAATTTGTCTACGTATTAACTAAATACATACAATTTTATGCGTTTAATGATATATTAAAATCCAAGATATATGTGCATGTATAAAATATTATGTAAATCTTATTGAATACTGTAGTAAGTTCTTAGGAGTGAATTATACTTTTGACAAGGTGTTGTTCGACCGCATCAATTTCAGTAATTTTTGTAAAGTTTAAATGTATTTCTTTTAAAGGAGTCTTTCACGAAACATTGTCAATGATTTTATTATTATTGGTCATTTTTTTAAACGTTATTATTCGTAATAAGTACATAATTTCAGATTATGATTACGTCAAGATGTATTAAAATTTTTACTGAGTCGACCAAGTCGATTTTTTCGATTGATGCCAAATTACTAAAAAATATTGGTTCAAGGTTTTCTTTCAATAAAGAGGCTTCCATTCAACAGGCTTATTATTTTTACGTCTGTCAAAACAAAAATTCGCATTTTAATTCGTGTTATTCAAGGCTTCTCGCTAACAATATAGAAATATATCTACGCCATTTACAATTGTGGTAAAGAATTTATCAAAGTAATATTAAATAATTTGTTTGTTCAAATCGTAATTTTTTGTTATTATAATAAAAAAATTCATGAGAAAAGTTACTGGTCTATACGCCTCTTGTGGTGAAGTTCTATAACTTTGGATAACGTTGCTTATATATTTATTTATTTATTTTTTACTTATACATTATTTATTCGTCGGCAATTTTTTTATGCCACAGATTTTTTAAATGGTGAATTCTTGTTGGAACTTTATAAAAATTCAAGCCAGAAATTTTCTTTGAACTATGTTGGGATTAAATTATAATTACTAAATTTTTATCTTTGAAATATGAAGCCACACAAAGGCTTGGTTTCATGAGGCTTACGAAAGTGTACACGACAATATTTTTTTACATGTCACAACAGTGATAAATATTTGGTGTCTTTGGCAAAAAATTATATCACTCAACGAAACTAATTATGAAATTTCTTCATTCTTCATTGATTATGATCTGTCGCAATATTTAGTGGCTTTTGATGATTTGAAGATTTTGTTTTTCTTGACAACGCTTACGTTTAATAATTCTTGAGCATCCAAATGTCTATATAAACCCCCCAAATCCACTCTCTCAAATTCTTCGTTCAGAAAACAATATCTTCAATAAAATAAAATAATATAATATTTAATAAATAAATAAAAAAATAATAAAAATGAAAGTTGCTACCATTGGACTTTTAGCCGCTCTCGTCGCGACTGTTGCTGCTGGTAGTGTATTTTGTTCTTCATCAAGCATTAAGCTTGAAGTCAGCTTATGTTAATCTATTCTTGTATATATTCATTTTAAAATTTAAATGTTACAGAACCATACTACGAAAAACGTTACTACGAACGTGACGCTGAACCATACTACGAGAAACGTTACTACGAACGTGACGCTAGCCCCTACTACGAACGATACTACGAACGTGACGCTCAGCGTGAAAGGGACGCTCAACGAGAACGTGACGCCAGCCCCTACTACGAACGATACTACGAACGTGACGCACAACGAGAACGTGACGCCAGCCCCTACTACGAACGATACTACGAACGTGACGCACAACGTGAACGTGACGCCAGCCCCTACTACGAAAGATACTACGAAAGAGACGCTCAACGTGAAAGAGACGCTCAACGTGAAAGGGACGCACAACGTGAACGTGACGCCAGCCCCTACTACGAACGATACTACGAACGTGACGCACAACGTGAGAGGGACGCACAACGTGAACGTGACGCCAGCCCCTACTACGAACGATACTACGAACGTGACGCTCAACGTGAAAGGGACGCTCAACGTGAACGTGACGCCAGCCCATACTACGAACGATACTACGAACGTGACGCACAAAAAGAACGTGACGCACAAAAAGAACGTGACGCCAGCCCCTACTACGAACGATACTACGAACGTGACGCCCAACGAGAACGTGACGCCAGCCCCTACTACGAACGATACTACGAAAGAGACGCTCAACGTGAAAGAGACGCTCAACGTGAACGTGACGCCAGCCCCTACTACGAAAGATACTACGAACGTGACGCTCAACGTGAAAGGGACGCTCAACGTGAAAGAGGCGCCATCTAAGTTTATTAGATTTTTCGTTCCCCTTCACAATAATGAGGGTCTTAACTTAATAATAAAAAATTGGTTATAAATGTGATTTATCTTCGTAGATAGCCTAGCTTATCTTCCATTTGTTTCCGACCTTTTGTATAAAGGATAGATTATTAGTTTTTTAATGTTCTTTTTTTTAATATTTTTTATTTAGATTTTAAACAAATATTACTCTCCCTCATTATATTTTTTCTTTTTTATATTTTTTTTTTTCGTTGTATATATATTTATTGTTTCTCCTATGTCGCTGTATATACAAAAGTTGAACTTAAGTTTCTTTTTCGTTAGTCTCCTTTTTGTTCTGATTTTATGTTCAGATTGCTCAATTTTTCGGAGAAAGCCTTTTTTTTCTGTATATTTTTTGATTTGTCTTCGTTTTTATAATAAAGTTCTTTCGGATTCACAGGTTTAGCCTATAAAATACAGTACTAGTAATTTCGTTTAAATAAAATACGATTCCAAATATTGGAAATGTAATAACACGTTTTTTTGGTTAACATTCTTGATGCGTAAATACATTTGTTATTAATAATCAATCATCGTTGCCTCTAAAGCATAGCAGTGTTTGCAATATTTTCTTATTATTCAAGAATTCTTTAATACATATTAGTCTATATTAAATTACAGGCTAGGTCTTTGCCCGGGTGTTGCATCAGGTTCAAAATCTTAGTTACTTTATATTATTACAGTTTATTTAACAATAATATTTAGATTATAGTATTTATTTAATAGTTTATTAAAATAATAAAATGGTTTTTTTATAACTTTGGCAGTTTTGCTAGTAGATTTTATTAAGTTTGTTAGTATATGATGCATGTTATATATATTTTTAATACAAATCTTGATATTATCTTTGCTATAAATGGCCATCAAATAGAGCAAAATATAAATTCGATAGATTTGCGTTTCACAATTATGAGGTTGCTTCAAAGAGTGTCTGGTGTAATTTGCTATACCAGTTTTAAAATTAGAACCAGAATTGGCTTAACCAAGCTTTGTGCTACTAGCTACAGTTTATTTTAATTAAATTATATCTAGCTATTTTTTTTTTTTGAAAATTAATGGTGAGACCATATATCTAGCTATTTTATATTTTTTTAATTTAATTTTTAGATGTGTTTTATAAAATTTTTGATTTGATATATTTAGATTATACATGTCAATGAAATTATTTTAGGTTTTGGATATGAAATTAAAATTTGAAAATGAAATTGTTTTTGATTTATTTTATTTATAAGACAAATTTTTTTGATACTTTGTTGAAAAGATAAGGAAAATTCTACTTATTATATAAATATAACCTCTCTGGGGTTGTCAATTAACTATTTTTAAGGATCTCAAAATCAGTTATTTGATAATTATAAAATTAATAGACAAATCGCGAATCATCTAAACAAATATTTTTTTTTTTATATGTAAACTAGCTGTAAACCTGGATGTTGCTTTGGGATAAAATTTAATTTTTAAATTTTTTTTAAAATTTGATTTTTTTATTTATTTTTTAACTTATAAGCTTTATTAAGTTTTAAAAAAAGATATTATATTTTATTACTATAGTGATATATTGCTACCTCTAATTGACCAATTAGAATGCAAGATCAGGTGTAATATAAAATTAAAACAAAATATTATCTTTTTTAAAAATTGTTTGTAATCTAAAAATTTTGCTATAAACTTTTTTTTTTTTTTTTTTTTATTAATATAATGCTATAGTAGAAACTTTATTACAAATAGAAAAATAATTCTAAATCTAAAGATTTCTAACTACATTTGTGTTATATAAGGCATCCAATGTGACATTACACTTCTATTTCTTATAAAATACTATAGTTAATTATTTTAAACTAATTTCTAGCTGAGGGTGTGATGACTTAGTGAAGTTGGAAAGTTGTTGTACTTCCAGTAGCAGGACAAGAGTTTGAATCCCACTGGTGACGAAATTTGAATTTACGAAATGCATTAGGAAGACTGTATCCTATTGAGTTTTAGAATCTGTAATAGGGTCGCACCGGCTTGTACTAGGAGGTAGTGGAACATTTAGTATGATGTATAAGTTATATGAAATCTGAGTAAAGCTACCAAATAAATCCAGCAGATTGATGGAATACGGAAGCCCGCTTTGCAAGTTTTGAGTAAAGAGGTAGCACAGATTTTTGATGATACTACGTAAAGGATTACTATCTGAAAGCAACGAGAACCAAACGGAACCGAAGTGTTTGGCAAAGTACTCTACCAACCAGGCTGCTGGAGGAGACCAGAGAAAAAGGACCCAATCATAGAGACCAGAAGCAGATCACAGCTCTTCCAGGCCATCTGAATTAAAAGTTTGGAGTGATGGGAGTATGGGTGATAGTCCGTAAAGTGGGTACTGGAGTTTGAGTGAACTTTCAAGAACAAGGAGTAGGTAATGGTAGCGGTTTTGGCTCGCAAGTACTTGGTTTTGGCCTAGGCATAAGTTATCAAAAAACTAGGTGATATATGTGTGGGACATGGACCGCTCTAGTAGGTTTACTACAAGTTCTAAGAACCCTTCTATAGGAAGTATATGTCCGCTTTAAAAACTTAGCAGGCCTTAATAGCAGATTCCTCTTTAGGGAAGATATCCGATGGCATGAAGTTGATCAGAGAGTTTAAATAGGTAATTTCATAGTTGGGTTACAGGTATGGCATCTAGTATAGATCTAGGATAGGCAGACTATTTAAATAGACACTCAAAAGGTGCAGATATAGTTAGAATGTATTCATATTAATATAACAAGATTAGGCACTATCCATGTGACTATGCTGGTATCAAACCAAAAGTTTAATAAACCATGCCAGACCTGTGAGTGGTCACCTTAACATTAAAAAAAAAAAAAAAAAAACTAATTTCTAGCTAGGATAGGTTGGAGGAGACCTATTGCTATAAACCTATTTTTTATATTTTAACAAAAAAATTATATATATAATTTTATTTTTAAACCTTTTTTTATTATCTTTACACTATTTTTATCTCACCCTAACTCTAACTTATGAAAAATCAGATTATTTTAAGTTATTTTGATTTCATATTATACAGGTTTTATAGATGATAATATACTGTATTATATATATAAAAATTATAAAATTTTTAAAAATATATATATATTATATAATTAAAATTTAAGTAAGTTTTTAATAAAATAAACTTTTTTTATTTTATTTTATACTGTTAATATTACCATCATCGAACACATGTAGCACTTTTTTATTTTATAAATCTGCATTACATCTTATATATTGTAATTTTCCTATTTCTATATATCTTCTTAATCCTTATTCAGTCTTTTAGGTATCTCTTTATTCGTTTCTCTGCTTGCTAGTGGTGTTTTCGGTTTCAGCCCCATCTGGTTCTTCTTCCAATAATTTGTTCTGTGCTACTTCGGTATTTGTCTTGTCATTTTTTGGTCTGTCTTAAGGTTTTAGTCATTCTTTTATTTTGGGTGTAGGCAGGAACCTCCCTAAGTATCAAACCTTGTAGTCCTTTTCTTTCATTAGATTAGTACCACTACATTTTTAAACTAAATTTACTTAATTTTTACATTATTTGTTGATAAATTCACTTTATTTAATCATCCTTGACCCATAGTTATGCCGACAGACTGCATTCTACACATATGAATCCTGTTTCTTCCTTATATAAAATTGTTTTCTCAAAGATCCTTTTAGTTATGGTCTTAACAAAGCCTTGTTCTCCAGTTGAATTCGAACCTACAACCTTGCGACTATGATCTGAGAGCACTAACTACTACATTATAGACCCACAGATTTTAAGATAATCTTTTTAGATTTAAATAAAGTTGTAGAGCTAACTTTTTTGATTTTAATAATATTAAAATCGTTAAAATTGAACCAGAAAATCTCAAGATATTTAAAATTAAAGATATAAATATAATACTACTATACTATATAATACTATAATAATTTGTACTCTTAAATCTAAATATCTTAAGATTTACCAAGCTAATTTTGATGATCTAACTATTATTAAAACCAGAAAATTCTTTTCTACAACTTTATTTAAAAGTCCAAAAGGGGTTACCTTATTAAAAACTTCTTTAATTTTTAAAAAAATAGAAAGAAGTGTTTAATAAGATAACCTTTCTTAGACTTCTAATTAAAGTTGTAGAGCTAACTTTTCTGATTCTAATAGTATTTTAAATCATCAAAATCAAACTAATAAATTCTAAGATAATACTTTGTATAACTACAAATTTGTAGATCTTTTGTTTATATCTTTAATTTCGAGGTAGGGCCCTATAGTTTAGTGGTTTAAGCGCCTACTCCCCACAGCCAAGGTCTTTGGTTCAAGTCCTACTGGAAGCAGTTTTTAGTAGTATTTAAGAATGCAAAACCCTGTGGAA